TGAAGTGACAGAGGCCCACTGAGTAAATAGTGAAACATGCAGCACATCATGAAATATTCAGCCAGGGTGTAAAAGCTCTAAATGCTTTTTCAATTATTAGCACCTGCACTGGCTGCATACATCTAACACTAACAGCATGTTAATTGCCACAATTTGTTAGGGTAGCTGTAGGAGAAATTTCAGAGGCAGGAGACATTCTCTAGCGCATCATCAGCTCCTATCTTACCTTCAGCAAACCCACGCTTTGCTCCAAAAATTAAGTGTTTGTGTGCATACACTCACACACTCACATCCACATCCAGAGTCAGGTAGGAAAACTCAAAATTCCTGGCCCACACACAAGGTGAGTTTCAAGACCCTGAATCTCGAACAGTAGACTGTTAAACGACTTTTTGTGGGTAAAATCCAGATATAGATTCTCTCCATAAATCTCCAGATATAGGATCTCTACCTGAGAAAGGCATAATTGCAGACTTTCACAAACACAGGTTAAAGAGGAGTTGTGTTGTTCCCTGGGGTGTTTGGCCATTGATTTCATATAAGGAGAATTTTATTGTAGGGCAGAACAAAAAGTAGCCAAGATGTTGTTTTATGGATGTGCAAAGACTAACAAGTTACAGTTTATTTTCAAACACTGCCAGGGTCCCTACTGGTCATATAATATTCTCGTTCCCAGTGCTCAACATATGGAGCAGTTCCACCACAGATCAGTGAGGGTATATTGCATTAATGCTCAAAATTGTATATGAATGATAGCAAGAGAGTTAAGACAAAGGTGACAGAATGCAAGGATATGCTAAACAACAGTCATTTAACGAAGCAGCCATTTGGGCCCGAATGGTCTTCTCAATTCTGTCCATCCCCAGTCATTACTCAGAAGTTCCAGACTCAAAAACTCCAAGTAAGTTTGCAATAGTTATAAATGTGTGCTAGGAAAGCAGTGCTCTTTAAAATGTAATGCTCACTTCCTCGCAGTAGGTTTGCTGGAAGTGGGATTTATGGTTTTGCTTTAGGCTGTTGTCTTCCAGGCAGGCTTTTTGGGGTTGCAGCTGTAGCATGGCATTTAGCGTCGTTTTCAAGTTTAATTGATCATAAGTGGCATTATATGCTTTTCAAAACCTTGAAAAGATGGTATTTTGCTCTTCATTTGAAGTCATGCGTGTGTAATATCTGCCATAAGAACCCGAGAAGCTATTTTTAAACTGGGGTTATGGATGAGGGAAAATTGGCTTTTGCTCCTTTTCTCCCCTGCGTGCTGTACATGCCTGTCTTTTCCTAGCTGGAGTGACCAAAGGCTTTGGTCATTGCACGCCTTAAAAGCCAACATCTCAATTAAAACAAACACTGTGGATTTTAGTTAGTAGAAGGTGGTTTTCTTCCTACAATTTGAATTTTTCAAGCAGATAACTCTGCAGCTCTGAAGAACATACATCATAGCTGCAGCGTTAATACAAGCATTTGCACACTAACCTGCCAGTGTGACTCAAGCGTGGCTTGACAGGGCCGTCTTCATGGGTGATGGGGGGAGAGAGGCTCTCCAAACATTCAGTTCATGATTTGGCTGTAAGGGCAACAACTGTAATGCTGTGTAATATGAATTTTAATGGGAAGAGGGTGTCCAAACCCCTTAGGCAGATTTGACAGCCTTGGCCTCTGTGTGTCTGTCTTAATTAATTTTTAGTATTTGCAAAACAGGTTTAGATCATCAGATGAACCAGAGTATATATGTCCCAAGTAGTAATGCTATTTTATTACTGTATTACTTCATAAAATTATCAAGGTATTTAAACAAAACAAAAAAAAAAGTCTGAGGATCAATTTTGTTTTTAAGTACGTAAGCCAGCGTATCTTCTAACATCTGAGGACAAAGTTGGGCCTTAGTGGTAAATAGTTTTCAACCTCCTCAGACATCTTCAAGGATCACTTTACTGAGAACGAAAAATCTTTGATTAAATAGAGATTAAAATAGTAGTTTACCCCAGAAGATTTAAATTTAATAAGCACACTTATATGTAAAAATCCACAGATTCTGAAACACAAAGTGTGGCTAGTCTTATCATGGTTTCCTTCTCAGGCAATAATACATTCTCCTAGAGTAAAAGTAGTACAAGGGTGTCTATTAGCTTGCTTCCTTCTTGTGTGACCCATCCTGTTTGCTTCTTTTAAGGCTCCCACTTGCTGTACTCCAAGCAGTGAAGCAGAGGATCCAGTTTATCATATTGTAAATAAGTGCATGTATTGATTTAAAAAATATATATATTTTTTTAAAACCACAATTTGCTACCTAAAACTTCAATAGAGAGTTACGTCTGATGATTCTCATTCTGCACCCTTTCCATAGCACACTTCTGTTTAAACCTAAGACAACTAGAAAATATAGTATTGAGGTAAAATTCTAATAAACCTTTGGCACAAGCTACTTTGAATATTCCCTTTTAGGATGCAAGGCCCTTACCCAAAAGAGAAATACGTGAGGCTTTAAGCCCACACACACACAACAAATTGCCTCAGACTTCGAGGCAGTTGACCCTAATTTGATGTCAGATATCTGTTATCATTTGGTTTGTTATAAGATTCCTATCAATTTGTATCATTTCTGTGACTGGGATTAGAGTATTGCTAAATACTCATTTGTGTGAAAGCTTCAGATGATCTATTTAGTTTTAAATTGCAGAGCATAAAAGAAACACTGATTAGAAAATTAGAATATGGCATTTTTAACAAACTGATTAATTATAGTTTCTCTGAGGAAGGGAAAGCGAAAAGGAAAATTCATTCCTGTATGCATCTAATTTCTGAAAGAAAAAGGAGGTGATTTCATCAGTGAACTTTGCTTCTGTTTCGGTGCTGCACTACGAAAGACTGGTGGAGAAATGTCTCATGAAAGTTTAGAGGGGGGAAAAAGAAACAGAAAAAAACTCTTTTCAGTGGAAGCTCCTGAAGATTCCTAACCTTTTTGCAAAAATTCTCCTTTTGAAACACATAGGTAACACATTCCATCAGAAAAAATAGCTAGGACAGAGTACCACTAAACGTTGCCTGAACGTCAGTACAGCCTTCAAATGGAATTGTATCCATGCTCGCAGACCTTATGTTACCACATGCAGCTCTGAGCAGCAGGGAATGCCCTATGAACAGCATCCCAGCTAACTCTCAGCCGAAACTACCATGGCTGCAGCTCACTGATGAGTGAAGTAAGAGAATGCAGTCTAGATATTTTTATAGAAATATATAAAAAAAACCCAAACAAAACCAAACCAAACAAAAAAAACCACAAACAAAATCAAGCATAAAACCACCCAACAAAACCCTTTGGTACAGCTTTTGCACCAAGCAGCCACCTCTGCTTCCCACAGAAGAGGGAGCACACTTGTGCGAGGCCTTCCATTCCTAAACCTGGAGTGGGGTCAGAGACTCCAGGCAGTCCCCTAGAGACTCCTCTGCTGCCAGTGGGTTGATAGTGAAATGCGCTGAAGTGTATCTCTGTTGAGTGAATGTAAAAAACTTTGAAAACATAGTGTTTCTTTTTACAGGTGAGTCTGACTTATGCCGTTGCCATGTAGTGCATTGCTTTTTCTTGAAGCATCAAAAAAAGATTCTGGTTTAAATGCAACATTGCATTAATAGCTTCTCAAGTTCTTTTAAGCCACTTTCTACGGAGTTGACTCCATAGATAAGTTACCATAAGGTAACTTCTCGTATTGTATTTGGGGTAAATTAACCTATATCATACACAGTGTTCAAAGTCTGCTTTAGTAGACAATGCAAAAGAGAGGTTCTTACCACTGTCTGCTGGCTCATATGCTTTAAAAGCAGTGAACTTTCCAGTTTTGAGAGTTCAGCCAATATGGGCATTTCTTTAACAGACTTCAAAAGGCAAACTGCTTTAAAATTTGGCTACCTGTCTCAGAGTACTTAGCATATTCCTACATAGCAAATATTTTCTTCTTTGAAAAGTTACAGTTCTGTATCAGGATGTTTCAAGTGTTCATGGCAAAAACCTTAAGTAAAGACTGTAGTTTTAGCAGACAAAGCTGTTCCCTCCTTGAATTTAGGATTTTAGGGTCAGTTTACCCTGTGCCTTGTAAACACGATCCTCCTTCTAATGCTATTGTATAGTGCAATCACTTAGTGGTCCTCACCAGCATCTGAGAGTGTTGGAGTCACTTAGTACTTAGCACAAGGTTTGATTTTTAGCATATAAATTAAAGAACTATATGTGTCTGTGCCTAGATGTAACTATATTTCTGGAGAGCAAGTTTATAAAAAATGTCTTTTATTTGCTTCTCCTTTGAGAAGCCTTGTGCTTTAAAATCTTGTTGGAAAAACACTTGGAAGGTTATCACAGGTAGAGTTGTCCACGAAAATGGACATTGTTGTTTGGTATTAAAATCATGTATTCCAGATGTGGGCATTTGTTAGTCAGTGTGCTCTAAAATGACATACTGTTGAATCTTTAAAGGGCTTCAGTTTGGGAAAGCAAAATATGATTGGGCAAATTGCTAAAATATTTAAAGTGCAGCCTGTTAAAGCTTTTACTGCGAAGAGCATCACGTCAGAAGTTGTATGTGGTAAAAGCAAGTAATTGGCTTTCCATACTTATGCCAGTCAGTCAGCATGGGGCTCTGTTCCTATCCCTTCTACTTCATTGCAGATGCTAATAGCAACCCTGATATTTATTTTGAAAGGGTGGGACTGGAAAGAAAAAAAACAAAACTTTTATGGATGTGATGGTGTCAGAAAGCCGCCTTTAAAATTAAATGGCTATTGCTGTAGAGAGAGTACGGAAACTCTTCAAAACTGCACCTAAAATTTTAAAATTAATTTTTTTTTTCTTTTCAGCTTTTGTTTAAAAGTGCCCTCATTGAAAGCATGTTAAAGTGTAAATACATTTCATTTTTTTACTTTTATCCCTCTTTGAACACAGCTCTTGGGATATCTTTCCATCCATAATTCATAATATTTTCCACTTATGTTGTCCTCAACTTGTTTTTCCCCAGGCATGACCCCTTGTTAATTCCTGGCAACGAGCAGATTGACAATATGGATGCCAATGTGAAAAAGTATGACTCTACAGGGATGTTTCATTGGTGTCCAGCCAAGGACATCGAAAAGGTCATTTTGGTAGGTATTGGTGATAAGCTGTGTTTGAAAAGAGGTTATCTGAACCACAGAACTGATGTCTACTGGACTAACAAATTAATCTCTGCTGTCATTAAATCCAGCATATTGAAATCAGAAAAACAGTGTGGTGAAATCCACGCTAGCATTTTAATTAAAGAATTATGGTTATATAAATATGTATGCCAAGTGCAACAATGAAAATTGCTCCAAAATAGAGAATTTCTTTTTCACAAGCTGAAATTTGCATATTGAGTTTAAATCTTTAGAGAATTAAGATTGGAAATATTTAAATGTTTACACACCCCATTTCTCTCTTTACACAAGGCAGTAATGATTCTAATACAGGCAAGTGTTGCTTTGCATTATCTCTTATTTATTTATGTGAATTTTGCTCTCTTAGAACTTCTCTCTCAATTTCCAACATTGCAAGATGCCCAAATAGGCCAGAGTAAGTAGTACTACTACTCTGCCTTTCTAGCATGTTGCAGTGAGTCTAGTCTACATTTGTTTTGTTTGTTTAACTGGGTAAGCCATCAAACTGACTCAAGTCATTAAAAATAATTAGAAGGCCTATCACAGTCTATTTTGTTCGGTGAAAGTTTGTGCCACTTGTGTTCATGTACTCATACCTAAGAGTAACAAGTAACTAACTCCAGATCTCATATGCAAAACTGATGGTATTTGAAATGAACTCCCTGGTGGATCTTCACTTTGTCACACTTCATAAAGCTTTTCCTGAGTCGGCTTTCTTAGATTTTCCTGCACTGTGGCATGGTGTAGCCAACGATGGTGACAGCCCCAGTTATTCTAGTAATCAGGGGATAAAAGCTTGTCTCCACTTCTCAGGGGTTTCTGTAGTAACTGTGACATTGCCTGGAATTGCAATATCAGTGTTTAAACATTCAAGCAAGTAAATTCCAAATTCTAGAGACTGAGCTGTGAGGCGAAATTTGGCTGAACAGCTTTAAATAGTATGCCTTTCTATGTATTCAGCAGGCAAGGAGGGGCAGACCTGCTGTAAAATACTTTGTAACAGACAGAGATAGAAATCTGCCTTCATGCTCTGAACACATTTTAACAGACAGCGTTTACATGTTGTCCCACTTTGAAAATTGTTTCTCCAAAAATGGCGCTGTGGAGTGCCTCCATTATCATCTCCTGGTGATGCCGTGTTAGCTTTTCCCCAACTAGCCTGTGTATCTGTAAGTCTAGCCGGGATCTTTCTGCTTCATGCATCATCACCAAGAAAGATGCTGCCAGCACAATGCTTCCCTACAACCCTACACCTTTTCAAACACATAGTTCACAACTTATGCCTACATTCATATCCATGCAAATTTAATGCTGTCCTTAGAGTTCACACGAGTACAAATTAGTACATAATTTGAAGATGATGAGGTTTCCCAGGTTGTCTTCTAATTGATACTTGATGATGCCTCAATCAGAAAATAATTCATTTTTTTGCCCAAGGTCTGTTTTGGCTCTGCGAGGTTCCAGCAGTATCAGGCAGTAAGAACTTTTTTTGGTATACAGTCAAATGTATGTGGCTACATAGAGATCAATGACTACAGAGTCACATTTTTTACACAATTTCTTTCAAGACTTGGTCTCTGTCTTGTAAAGTCTGAGTATTTGAGACCATTAGGCAAAGGCATGGGACAATTTACGTGCTTCACTTGAGCGTTTGCTCATGTCTTCCGCTATTTGAAGGGCCAAGACCACTCTCTTGGTAGAGTTATATGAAAATCAGTGTAGTTGCCCCAGAGAAACTGAAAACTCCATGTATTTTTTAACTGATAGAAAACTTTTAAACAGAGTTCCCCTTCTTACATCGTGAACACCTCTGATGCATATTCCAATCTGCATTGCACATTATCATGCTTCCATAATTTATAAAAAGGGCATATACTATGGGTAAATGAGGGAAAAAATCTGCAGTTCACCGTTGCCTTAGTTTTATTCATTGGCAAAACTTCTATGTAATGGTGCTGAGTGTACAATTTCTTGGCAATATGATATCAGTGGATCTGCAGCTACTCAATGGAGTGCCATAATGCTAAGACTGGCTCTAGAAATGAAGGTCATTTTTTCCTCATGATTTTATTTAGTCATGTTGGTGTTTGAGTTGCCTGCTCAACTGACATTACCACTGATGAAATTAGTGCAAAAAGTTATTCTCGTCACTGAGACAAGAAGATAATTCTGAATACCATTCAAACATTCTCCATGAGACTTTTTTCCTTCTATCTATTCAACAAGTCAGGAAGCCCAATGGTCCTGAAAGTTAGTATTAGTCACGATCTTGCACACTAGGTTTTTCTTACTGAGAGAAGCTCTGTGGAGTGTGATGAGCATCCATCGTAAAGCAGAGCAGTGTACAGCATTCTTTGCTTCTCAAGGGTAGTAGCAGCTTGTCCTAAAATAAGAACTTTGACTCTAAGAGAATATGGTCCTCAATTCACAAGATATGTGTAATACCACTAAGACCATCGGGCTCTCACGTTTTCCTTTTTAAATTGGTCCTGAAACAAGACTACTAGTGATTCCTCAGCTAAGGCATGGTTTTGCATACCTTTTCTAAAATCCTTCTAATGGCTAAATGCATAGTAGGTCAAATTCTGTTCTTAGCTAAACCCATAGTACTTTGATTGTAACCAGAGTCTTAATCCACATGTGTAGAAACATATATAGGACCAGAATTCCGTCCAGTACATTGTCTTCCCAAACACTGAAGGATTTGGAAACAAAAGTGAAATTCTCTTCTGCTGAGCACGTTTAATGAAAGATAAATAAGGGTAAAATAAACAGCTATTATCAAACCGCTTCTTTGTGCATGAACAATATTGACAGTTGTGTTTTTCCTGGTTTAAAGCTCAATATATGATTTAAGTTTCCCTTTGTTTCATTTCTCCCTTGTCTTTTTGTTTTGTTCTTTTTTTTTTTTTAGACTCGAAGTGAAGCAGCGATGACAGTTTTAAGTGGGCATGTAGTCGTTTGCATATTTGGGGATGTTAAATCTGCTTTGATTGGACTAAGAAATTTAGTGATGCCATTACGAGCCAGCAACTTTCACTACCATGAACTCAAGCACATTGTGTTTGTGGGTTCACTTGAATACCTGAGAAGGGAATGGGAGACACTGCATAACTTCCCCAAGGTTTCAATCTTGCCTGTAAGTCCAAAGCCATATTATTGATACTTTGTTATTTAGGACACCAACTGGACAGATTCGTATTGACTTTGATCTTAGGCTTTTTTTACTTTTGTCTACTTATAGGCCTGAGGACTTAGATTTTCCCTTTACTGTGTCTATGAAAGCAGAGCCCTGTGAGACCTTATTAGAAGATATTTGCCGCAGTGTTTGGTTCCTCGTCATCCTCATCGGATGAATTTTAGCTGCTATCAAATGTATTAGCTGTGTTATATATCGAACATTCACTGTAGTGCACTGCATGTAGCCGGTTCTGATGTTGTGATTTCACTGACAGAATGACAGTAGTTATTTATGACATTATTTATGTATTGAAACCCACAAAACCTTTGAAAAAAATTATTGTTACTCTGTCCATGTAATATCTATCTATAGTCATAAAAACTTCCTGTAGGCTGGCCTACTTTAAAAGGAACGTTGCCATAGCATTTCAGTCCTGCCATACTCGCGTATGGAAGTACAGCAAAACCATGACTCTTTTGAAAACTGTGAAAAAATCCTATTGATTTTAGTAGGGACAACTACTAAAATGGCAGTTCAGAGGTCCTTTTTCTCCTATGTAGCATTATCATTCACTCGTGTGCCCAAAATGTAGAAACTCAAGCTCTAGGACACACAAATGAAGCCTTCCAAGCTGGTGATCTTAGGTGGTCGTAGCTGTAAATGACCCACACAGATGTAGGCAGGAGGGAAATGAGCCTGTGGTATAAGTACAGAAGAGAATGCTCTGTACATTACAGAGTAGAGTTCGCTTGTATTTTTTTATCAGAATGAAAAATTATGACTCTACCAGTTCTTAATAATCACATTTCAGAGTTAAAAGTAAATAAGACAATGATGGATGTAACCTAAACTGGATAACTGGGAAAATAGCTATAGAATGGAAAGACTGTCTTCACTTTCTGATTAATTCAGACTGTAGGTCTTTGTTACTGTAAATGCAGTTTTAGTGTTAGCCCTTGGCTTTTTTCTGTAAACTGATCCAACAGATGGTGTCACAAGATTCTCTGCTGTCACAAAAATGGTGTCAATATCAGATTTGGTCAGTTAATATCCTCCTCTTCCTGCCAATCCCTTTTAATTCCAGTCACTGTGAAGGCTAAAGTCTAAGGATTCAGAATTAAATTAATAATACTGTTGAACTGTGGAGCGGAATAGATTCCAGCTACTACTTCTAAACTTTCCAGTATATAACGTATATCCATTATTATAATGCATATTTGTAAAGTTTTGATTCTGAATTCTGAAGAGGCATTAAGGAAATGTACACCACCTTTACATTCCCCAATCAGTTTGCACCCAAATTTGGAGTAGTTTTGGGCTAATTACAAATTAAACAGCTTAAATAATTAGTTAATGCACCTTTAAAAATACAGAATATGTAAAGTAATTGTGTCTTACACAGTAATCAAGGGTGCTGAAGACTACACAGACTTCACTACTGCTTTTTTCTTTTCAGCCTATCTGTTTCAAAATGGTTATATAAAGTTAAAAATATCAGCATTATTCTAATCTAATTATACTAATTTAGAAGTCTACTAAAGTTTCTGAGATCATACTGGTAGGAATCGTGTTAAAGGGAGGCCACTCAAACTCATTTCCTACTTCTCTGTGCTTTGGTTCACAAGGTAAAACTTGCTGCTGACATCTGATGGGGATGTGGTTACAGCTGAATATAAAAACGTTTCTTCTTGTTTAAAAAAAACATGGAAATTTCATTTAAAATCTGTATTAAAAGAGGCATTTAAGCTGCTGAGTAAACTCTTAAAAAGTAGGGAAATGCCAATTTTAAATATCCTCAGGCAGCCTTCATTCTGTCCCTTTGCATAAAATCATTAGGAGTAAGCCTTTAATTAGTTACATGCTTGCATATTATTTTTCCCCACAGGAATCCTGCTTCACTTGGTGCACAGTACAGATACAGAGGGCAGAATTAAGGTGGCAGGAATAATCATATCCTAACTTTTGAGAACTTTATAACTAAATCATATCTGGTTGATATATACTGATTTCCACAAGGTTTCATGCCTCAAATTAATGAAAGTAGCGTGGAGTAGTGAGGCTGGTATCTGAAACTAGGTGGCAATCACTGAATACGAATTGAGCTCAGCCTTCACTTTGTGCATTTTAAATTCACTTTTGCATTGAATATTCTCAGTGGAGTTCAGGAGTTCACCATGAGTGATCAGGAGATGGAAGAGTAGGGTCTTGACTCGGTTTTATGAAAGTCACTGTGTGACAAGGGGACAGCTTAGTCTCCTCATCATCATTAGGGTCTTTGGGTACCAAACCATGTGAGGCAGCAGAGCAGAATCTAGTTTCCATAAAAAACTCTTTTTTTTTTTTTTTTTTTTTCTTTCCTGGACCTCGCAGCCCCTGTGACATAGACTTAATATTCTGTAACTAGAGATGTGGACTGTTGGATGTGAAAAGCAAGTGTTATCTTTAAACAAAACATAATGGGTTAAGTGTCATGTCTCATTTGTGTTAACTATGAAAAAACCCCACAGACTATGACAACATTTCATGTTAATTATTGAATTCTCTGATTGAGAATTGTGGAAGCAGGGAACCTTGCAGGAGTTGTGGCCATTAAGATAAAGTCTTGTTTCTGTTTCAAAGGGTTTAATCACACAACTTTGAAGATCAGTATGCTTTCCTTCTAGGAGCACCAAAAACGTGCATTGAAAAGGATTAACCTTTTGTGTGTATTGCTTCAGGTAGAAAAAAATAGCTTTATCCTGATTGCATCTCAAATTTGTAGGGGACATAATGCTTTCCTGTTTAAATTGCTATTCTTTTGCCCAAGACTATTGTGACTTGGTAGTAGATAAATAGACATTTAAAACACCCCCCTTGCTATATTCAGAGAGCCAGAGGTTGCCACATGATAGTGACTTAAATCAAGACAATTTCAAATCACCGATGAGATGTAGAATGCTGGCATTATTCCTGTTTCTTGTTTGTTAGTAATAGCTTGACTGAGTATTGAGACTGAACCTAAAATGCTGCCATCAGCACCAACTACCCTTTAGATTAGCACACATCTCCTATTCCCTGGCACATAGTTAGACCAGCTTAATGTCAGAGCATAAAAAAGATACTTGTTAAATAATTTCCCAAAGCTCCTTCTCAATCTTTAATTTGTTTTTCTTTTTTTCCTTTCCTGCCCCCCCCCCCCTTTTCTCTGTGCCGAAGGGTACGCCATTAAGTCGGGCTGATTTAAGGGCTGTCAACATCAACCTCTGCGACATGTGCGTTATCCTGTCAGCCAATCAGAATAATATTGATGATGCTTCGCTGCAGGACAAGGAATGCATCTTGGCGTCACTCAACATCAAATCTATGCAGTTTGATGACAGCATTGGGGTCTTGCAGGCTAATTCCCAAGGTAAGGACTGCCCTATAATACTTCTCTGCAGTGCCTACAGGGGACAGGACCTGGCAGGAAGAATATCCCTCACTCAGTAATTCAAAGAGCCCTACATCAACTTGCTTGACAGTTAAACCTGCTGATTGGTATGATGGCTTTTAAAGGGACAGTCACATAGTTTCTCTGCTACATCACAAAGCACATCTTGTGGAAGGAAAAATGAATGAATGTGAAACTGGCATTTTTTTCTCATTTTAAAATTTTCCTAAAAATATAGATAAAATCATTGCTTTCTCACCCCGCCGTGCTCTGTGGCTTTCTTACCAGGCAATTGCTCTTATAGAGCCAAAGCTAGCTCATACTCACTTCAGAATACCTGAAGCCTCTGTCTAACAAGATTTCTTTTTTATGTAAAGCACATTGCGACCAGAAAGAAAAAGAACTGAGTAATACAAGCAGAAAAGTAAAATAAAAAGAACAAGAATTTTAAATTGTCTCTATAGTTCCTGTGCCTTCTTGCTCAAAAAGCCACTTAGAATTAACTCAAAGGTGATTTCTTCCCATGGATTGACATGTACTCGTCCCATTTAAGGACATTGAACAGAATCCTTCAGACTTTGCTGAGATTAGGGGACTGATTCATAGGTAGCCAAAGGCTATTTTACACCAACAGTGCCTGTGCAAAGCAGCTGCAAAGCAGTCATAAGCACCCTGGCAAAGACCATCAGTGTAAAAACAATCATCTTCCCATCCCTGAAGGGTCTTGCAGATTATGCAGCTGAAGTCCTACCTTTGATAAACCTATTAAGTGCTGCAGTAAATATTCCCCCTGGATCTAGCCCTGCTATAAATGTAGGTGTAGAAAGGATAGTACTTTGGTCTGCAATTTCCCCATAAGCCTGACCTAGAGATAGTTTTCCCTCAAGGACTGTGAGAACTAAGATTAAATTCAGTTTTTCCTCTTTACACTCTAATCAGGAAAGAGGCATTATAAGCTAAAAATCAGAGGCGGCAGTGTAACTTCATGAATATAGAAACTTCTTGAATGTGGAAAATTCTGTCTTAGAATCAGCAATAAAACCATGGAATTTAATACTGGAATTAGATTGTACCAGGAAACTAAAAGTTTGAAATTTTCAAAGTCAGGTTGGATAGTTCTCTGGATAACGTGTAGATATAGAGAGGAGGAGGAGGAAGTGTTTTTTCGCCATGGGTGTTTGAAGTTTCAAATCTGTGGTCTGGAAGCAATACAGCCCCAGATATTTTAGAGTTTTTCCCTCAAAAATTTGTGAGCCTGACTTGCTCGCACTATGATAACTTGTAGTCATGGTTAGGAAACTCCTTGCAGAAGTGGAACACAGGCATGGAGGTTCCTTGTTTTGCTGATTTAGACCTGGGGTTTGAAATTTTGTGTCTGAAAACTAAATGTGTACTTTCACTACCAGGCTATTGGCTGTTCTTTGGTGGGTCTCTCTGTCACCTGTCACACACATAATTAAAGTCATCAAGAAGTAGAATCTGTTTTTCTCACCCCTTTCCTCCCTTCCTATTCTTGAGCATGGGCAGTCTGAGAGAATTTCCTTCTCCTGCTTTTCCTCAGAGGTTAGTGGTATTTCCAAGACTTGGCTGTTGTATTTTACCCCTGGGAGCACACTGGATCTTAGACCACCCCTGAATGAGGACGGAAAAACCTAGCAATGTAACAGCCTTGTACACCTCATGAACACCTGCCATTTTTTCCTCTCCATCCTTGGAAGTATTCAAGACCTGACTGCATAAAGCCCTGAAGAACCTGATCTGACCTCATAGCTGACCCTGCTTTGAGCAGGAATTCAGACTGGGGACCCTCTGTTGTCCTTCTAGCGTGAATTGTTCAATGATTCTGTATTATCCAGGTTGCTGCTACAGCATAGCCCCTATAGGTCAGGAAACGTAGACTTGGGCTATGGTCCTTTCAGCCCTATTCAATGCTGCTGATGCAGAGAAGCAGAGGCACAATAGGTTAGCACATACTTAGAAACTTTGGACATTTCTTCTGGTAAATATCAGCCTGCCTGTAAAAAAAAAAAAAAAAAAAAAGATGCCTCTAGTTTTTCTGGGGAAACAGGGCATAACATAAGGCTGGTGGCCAGCATCCTATTTTAGTTGGGAGCTCTGACTAGGGAGTGGTTCTTCTAAAACCAGTTGCTTCATAAAATAATTATCTTCCCAGTAAATCCTCTGCTTATGGTATCCACTACTTCTGAATTGGTTGCATTGCTTTCAGTAGAGTAAATTTTTTTGAAAGACCTTGAATACAATGGTTAGACTGTCAGAAGCAATTAGATCAACAGATAGCGCAAACTTTACTGGAAGTTATATCCAATGTGACATTTTTGTCTATGAAATGCAGCTTTAACGTACGGTGGACACAACTATCATGACAATTATACAAACCAGGTGATTCAGCTTTTGCTGGTCAACAAGCAGCATACTGGAACCACCTCACAGCTCCTTGCTGGCAATTAAGTACCTTTAATTACAGAGCCAGTTGTCATTTAACTTTTGCTTAAATATTTGTGTATTATTTGACATACTTCCTTATACTTAACACATTAGCTGTTACAAACCTTAAGTATTGCCAATCTGAATGTTTCTAGATCTGAATGTATGATTTTTGACTTAAGACCTTCCTCACCAACACCATCCCTTGAAAAAGTGTTCTATGCTGTTCTTTTATGTGACTCCTATTACTGATCACAGGAAACACTGACATTAGAAAATCTGGGTGCATGGAAGAGTCAGTTGACCTGTGACAGGGTGTTGAAAAGAGATGAAACAAAACAAAATATGTGAACAGCCTGAGAAACATATGGGCGAAGCTGTGAGATTTTTGGTGAGGGAATTACCAGTGTAATCTTACCCTTGCTATTCTAAGTAATAAGCTAGCATAATTTTGTAGTCGCTAAGCAGTGGAATCTTATATGAAAACCTTATATATAATTTATGTTTACACCTCTGAAAAAGAAAAAAATTAGTCATTTAATTGACGGGTTATTGAATGCACAAAGATCTTTCCAGTTTTTATCTGTGATTATTTCAGTCCAGCATCAGACAAGAGATGACACCAGTACAAAAAGTGCACCATAAAAAGCAGGATGCAAATTTATTTAGCCATTAGACAAGCCATAATCATTGGCCAGTGCTGAAGTACAGGGCCATATCTATAACTCACTGGAATCTTCTAAAACTGCAGTTTTCCAAAGTATTAGAAGATAAATTAGTCCTGTGTCACTCAAACCAGGACACTTCCTTAGAAGGAAGTGTTCTAACTGTTCTGGAAGGATTTGCTAGTCTCCTTTCAATAAAATGTGTGATTCTACTTGAAAAGAAAAAGAAACTTTCAAATTGGACCTGTGTTGTTGAAAGCTCTCATGTTGAAAACATTCTCATGGCTGTCTGCATTGAACTTTTCAAAGCTGAGTGGGCAACTCCTTAGGCCTGCTAGAGGTTAAGGGTGCAGACTCCAATGTCCTGAAAATGAGCTCTTGGAAATCATCAGGGCAGTTTGTTGCCTTTGGGAGACCTAGATTCTGAGGACAGAAAGGCCAAAGTGTATCCCGCTGCAGCTGCAGCAAACCATCGCTTTCATTAAGATATCTCAGCTTCTGAGATACAAAATGCGGTAAAGCTGGAGCCTGGCCCACCTCTTCACAAAATGACTCATAAACTCAGTCAGATGTCTATTTGTGACAAGGGAAGTCCTGTTTTTATCTTGCAGTTCCTCTTACAGATGTTGACTGGTTGTCTTTTTAGAAAGGTTTGTAAAGAGGTATGTTTGTGATGGAGAAAAAAAGGTCACTCTCAGGTACTGGAGATTTGTTTTTATTGTCCCTTGATCCTTCCTGATTCTCATTCCATCCCCTCAAATGTAAGATAAGATTATTTTATCAAGAAGTATCTTGGAGAGAAGACCAAAGAATATTAGATCCATGTTAAGCATTTGTGCTCCCCAGCCATAACGTTTTTCCAAAGCACCCCAGAAGATTGAGTCCGGGATGGGATATGCCTTTGCAGTTATGTTGGGACAGCTCCAGTAATTCTCCTTTCCATCATTCTGTTGGCCTTTCCATCCTTTCTTCTTCAAGTAGCATCTATTGACTGTTCCCATTTAGTTTTTCATGTTTCTTGTATTTTCTTTCAGAGTCTTACATTGTGAGAATTTTACTCATCGTTTTACCCACCAGATGAACAGGGCCCAACACAAAATATTTTTCTTCAGTTGTAACTAAAACTGCTATTTGGCTTTCTTCCCAAAAACCAGAAAGACAATTATACTTAACTGTTTAGAGATTTATAAATACTGTACCAGAGTAGCCTCTGGGTAGTAACTTTAGATATCCAACTCAATAATTTTCTTTTATTGGATAGTGATTTAGATCTTATTTTGAGTCCTATATAATAAAAGCAGTACACTTCATTAAAAAACACTTACTAAACAATAAAGAAAAGCGATCTTATGGCTCCAAGCAGGTCTAAAGTACAGAAAAGGGAGGCTGTATAGTAACATTTTTTCTATGGACATTACAAGACAGATCACAGTACAGCAGGGTAGATGTATTTCAGCATAGTAACAATTGCAGCTGTTTTCTCAATGACTTCAACTTATGAGAATTTTCCCTAGGAACACTATTTCAACACATGAGAGATCTTTTTAAGGCCTCCATTTACAGTTCTTGTAATAGATCCTCCAACAAGAAAGAATAAAGAGGAAAAAAATACAGAGGAGATGAACTCCTGGGTAATACATCTCATACATCATGGCAGGATTCTTCTGGGGAAAATCCTACAGAATCAAGTAAACGTACTCAGAACTTTACACACTGACTATCAAGTGTAACAGATTACACAAACTAAAATAACCTTGTACAATTTTAGTTTCATTTGATCCAGTTTCTTTAAAAATCACCTGTAGCTTCATCATCATTTTCTGTTGAAGCTGGCTTAAACTTTGACTGAAAGACAAAAGCAGTTAGCCA